GCGTTGCTTCTTGAAACAAAAACAAAGTTCTTCGTGTTTATTTAAGCGAGCTTGACTTGGAAATAGAGCAAGGCAATTATAACACAGTAATCGCTTATGATGATTTTTAGAACCGTAAAGTTTTTCAATTCCATTTATGTACATAAAATGTCCTGGATTATTTGCACAGGTTTGAACGTAAAGTAGGTTAACAATTTTCCGTTTTTTATCTCGGATGTGCATACTTTGGTATTTAATATTTAGCTTCCCTCGATCATCGAACCCGAATACATTTACAGCGAACATCTTCTCAGCGTTTCGACTTTCAAATGTTTTGATATTCTGCTGTGTTGTAGGAAACTCAATGCATTTCCAATCATAATTATTTACAAATTTTTCGTACTGTCTGATCCTTGCTCTATGAAGTGACTTTATATCGTTAATATGCATGCCAATCAGAAAAGCCCATTGAAAGCATTTGTTTCCTTGCATTTGCGGATTGATAATTGCTTTCTTTCCAGCCAACTCTTCAGGGGCCGATACAAAGCAACCACCTCGCAAAATCTCGAACTCGGCAACCCGAATATCGCTTCCTAGAATTTCGCATAAGTTCCATCCCGAACCATATTTCTCGAATATTTCAATTTAGTGTTGAAAATTCGTATCAATCTCGTTTAAAACGTCAGTCAGATAAAATTTGTTCAATACAACTTTCATATTCGAATTTATAAATTGTGTACAATATTCCTCTTCTTCTTTGTCGCAAAACGGGGTGTCTCTAATAAATTTACATTTCAGGGTTATTTGAATTTTTACGGATTTGTAGTCATTTAAGCATTGTTTAATAATGCCATAAATACAACGCTTGTTTTCTGAAAAATATTCCATTAATGTACGATACGGAGCATTTTTCTTCTTATTTCTATGTCGATATGTTCTGACATATCCCTTAAATGCAGCTATCTCTTTAAAAGGGTATGCGTCGTTTTGTCGCTTTCTCGATCCCGTCTGTCGACTGCTTGCTGCCGTCGTAGAAGATTTTATGTGCGTCAAAATATGATTATTTACAGCAAAAATATCGCTGTCCTCATACATGCAATGCGGACATCTATGTGAATTTATATGAATATCGTACGCTTTGTGTTGAGTGAATTCTAAATTACATAACTTGCATACATATAATCTAAAAGGCCTTCTGTGATTCGTAACGTGTTTTTCGAACCGCCTTGCTGAGGCGAATTGAAGTCCACATGGGATGCATCTCGTACAAGATTTCCATGAATTCATCTATAAAAATTATGACACGAAATGAGGATAAGAAAGATTAAATATTGAATAAATCATAAATTCGCAAGGACGCACATTGATATGAGAGAAGTGAAACCTTCCAGGATATTCCTCCGCTTATAAAAGAATCCGCTCGTTCTCCAGTCTGCTACAGTATTTAATTATTAAATTGTCATTATACATAAATGTGGTGGTCGTACTCACATAGATTGTTTCATTCCTTCGAGCATCACCAGCCGCGAGTAGTAGTAGTAGCAGCAGCAGCAGCAGCAGCAGCAGCAGCAGCGACAATACGACAAAATTCCGAGATTTGCGTCTAAATAATAAGAAAGTTTATTATAATTATTATATCATCATCATCTCAATTAAATTAAGTAATTACGTCATCAGCTGACATAATTTACGTATGTGTATCATACTTTTGTGAGTTGATAGCTTAAATTATTTGTGACAATTTGGCGTGTTGATATCGGGTGTATAATCAAATACCAAATGGAATTTAAAAATAATTCGGTTCTCATATTTATACTACTGAAGTGACATCATGACGACTAAAATGTCAAAGATCAAGTACACAGAAAAAAGTATTAAAAATAAATAAAAAATAATAACAATCTACTAAATACCTCTTGTTACAAAGAAAATAACTCAAACAAAGAAGATAATACGTATAGTCACAACAAAGTAATTAATTAGATCACTCCATTAACAAGCAAGTATTCACTTGTTATCGTATTATTTTATATTCTTGTTTACTGTCGTCATCATGTTCAATTTTGAGATTAAATCACGATATAAAAGACGACGATCTCCATTTAGTCGTATTAGTCAAAGAAATAATTTCGAGGAGTTAACTTTGAATTGTGAATAAGAAGAAAAGTTTTTTTTCTTTCAGAAATTTTATTCAGACATATTCCTAAGCAAATTGCTTCAAAAGCAAAGAAAACAGAAAAAATTATTTGAATCTACAATTTAATTTCTATTTCAGAAAACGATAATCGCAGAAGCCGCAGCGCCACTCGCAGCACGAGCCGCAGTTCCAGCGATAGTAGTTCTTCACGGTCAAGTCATCGCAGTTCGTCGGGCAGCAGCGATGAGGGTAAAAGGCCTAGGAGCAAGAAAGCAATTTGGTCGGACGACTCGGAATGGGACCGATCCCCGAGGAGAGACGCCAAGAACAAGACGACCCACAAGGGCAGAAAGGAAGCCGAGAAGAAACATAAGGATAGCGACCGTAAGATTTATCGTTTTATTTTACTCGTTTATTTTATTTTTTAATTTGTAAATTTACATTACGTTTACGCTCTTATTTACAGGTAGACGAGAAGAAGGATGCGGAAAAGAAGCCCATGAAAAAGTCTAACGAAGGACCTAGGCAGGGATCGGGATCTGGAACTAAGCGAAAAGCTGGTAATATTTTTTTATTTATTAATTTTAAATATTAACACATTCGAGACGTAGATTAATATTTTATATAATTCGATTATTTTCAAATACTCAATGCAAAACATTAACTAAATTAATTGCTCACTTTCAGGCGACGACGATAAGAAGCCTGCGAAGAGGATCGTGAAGGACCAAGTCAAGTCGGCCGTGAAGGACGCTAAGCGGAAGACATCCAAGAAGGATCCCCAGCCTCACTTCAGCGGCGGAGGAGCAGGTGAACAGCCAGGTACAATTAAGAAAAACTTCTCGTCCTACGAAGAGAAGAAAGATTCGCAAAATTCAATTTGGTGGGAGGGGTTTTTAGGAGGCGAATACTACCTCCGACTCCAAACATGGCATAACAACTCAAAAACATATTTATCTTTACGCAAAAATCAAAATGTGGGCGCAAATATTCTGGTCGACCACTATTGGTCATTAGTAAAAGCGTTAGAAGAAATGCGCAACGACGTTGGTAGCATGCTCCCGGCAAAACCGGACGCTTAGAGCTTTATTTGATGTTAAGCTCACTAAAAGTTTTAAAATTCAAATTTTGGTTACAAATACTAGATTATTAGTTATTGCTCCATAAATCCTCTCAATACTTACCTTCAAATTAGCACCGGATCAATTCTGAAAATAAATAAATCCCAATACTTCATTAATTAACTAAAATTGTTGTCTATTAATTTCTCACACAGTTGACGGACTTATCTTTGTTCGTCGTCATAGACGGGCAATGTTTCCGAGGAAGGCTACGCCTGGATCAGCAGCATATGACCTATTTTCTCAAAACTCTGGCGAAATCAGTGGTGGCGGTGTTGGTGTGGTGGAGACGGGGATCCAAGTTATACTGCCCCTCAACCACTTTGGTTTGATTAAGGGGAGGTCAGGATTGGCCGCAGCAACAACGATATCCACAGCAGGTTTGTTGTTCATTATTACATTACTGTTACAAATTGAATAATTACAAATTTATAAAATTTATTTAAGGTGGCATAATCGACCATGATTATACTGGGACGATGAAGATTATCTTGCACAACAACTCGAGCGAAAACTTCGCTTACAAAGCGGCGTCACGCCTCGGGCAGCTTGCAGTAATCCCAATGTACCACGGACCAGTGCGATACGTTGAAAGAACTAAGAAAGACGAAGAACACGGCGTTCAAAGAAGTGAGTTCTTATCCCGCGAGCCGCGCGGTGATAAGGGATTCGGTTCGACTGGACAATAACGCGTTTTTGGCATTGTTCATCACTTCACATATATCACTTCCAACTTGCTAACAATTTTTCATTTAAACTGTTTTGAATTAGTTAATTAATTAATAAATTAACTTTTTAACCGTCTGGTCGGTATTTCCAGTCTGTTCACTGGGTTGTCACAAGCACGATCATATTCATCTGAACATTTTGGCATTGTATAACAACTAGAGTTAAAAACAATCCCATGTTTAGACGATCTCGTTCACTCAAGTGTCGCTAAAACTCCCATTCTCATATGAACATTTTGACATTGCATACATGCTTACACTTTAAACAATCCCATGTTTAGTCAATCTCAAACATTGCAGAAGCTCTGATTCTCATATGAGCATTTTGGCATTGCGTGCCCAATTGCATGCATGCACTTTTGATAATTTCATATTTGTTATAACTTGGCCTAACAATGGTCAAGTTATAACAACATGCTCAGTTTCATAATCTTTGTATATGTATCATTGGGCTATTCATCATACGTAATTTGAGCCATTGGGAGCATCCGAGCTTTGACGGGAAAATATGTGTGTGAATATTAATAATAAACTTCTTGACCCAGCAAATTCTACCAGACTGCGAAAGTTTTTATTACTGGTTTAATAAATTACAAATATACGTATGACGAGTTAATTATTTATAGCCTTTCTAGATGCACACTTTATAGTTTTCATATTTGTTGTTTACCAATTGTAAAGCAGACCCAGACAGGCCTACAATCCGGTAAAATAAAATTTTTACTCATAAAGCGCTTCGAAATTTCATAAGTTGACAATTACATGAATCAATGTAATATTATTAGCGTTATAGGTTTATGCGAGATTTTTGGGCAAACATGTCATCTGGGGGGTAAAATGAGAAAAAGGGGCTTGGGGTAGGGGCTGAGGCCAGCCTTTAAGGGGTTAGTGGCTGAGGCCTGCCTTCAAGGGGCTGGGGGCTGAGGCCCAAGGGGCTAGGGGCTAGGGGCTGGGGCCCACGGGGATAGGGGGTAGGGGCTGAGGCCTACCACATACAATTCGTTACTTTGTCAGCAGATTCCCCGTCTCATTCGACCCTCGAACACAAATAAAACACCAGCAGCTGACTGACTCAAAGAAAAATAAATCTACCACAAAGCGAAAAGCCGACTAAAATCTCTCTCTTGTACTCAATTTGTTTCTTTAATTAAGTTAAATTTACCCATTGCAAATAGTTCATTTACACGATTTACTCATCCTTCAGTACAATAGGTGGGTATGTAAATGAGTGTCATTTAACCGAATAATTAGAATGCACAAAATCATACGTATTTACATGATTATTTGCGTGATTATTTGGAAAATTGTAATCGATACAATGTAACCTGTTATATTGTTAAATCATGCTGAGAATTAACCTGTAATTCTATGGGCTACGAGCCTTGAAAGAATTATTCATTGAATAAATTATTATATATATTATATATATTATTATCATACGTATTTACATGCTTACAGTTCAATTTCGTATTGTTTCTTATCTTTACAGAGAAAATGTGGGGCGCAGAGGTATTTCCAAGGTCTACGAAAAATAGGACAGGACATATTTTGCAAGATTTACTTTCCTCCACGGTCCGTTTGACGAGATTAAACTCCATTCCCCCCAAGGAACGACCCCTGAAAATCAAGGAGAATAATTCGTCCCCAGAATTAATTCAGTCGTTCTGTTCAATCTGCTCCGAATGGACAAATCTGAGTCCTCTCGCCGTCCAAGAAATAGAAATCCTTGCCAAATTCGTTCTTAATCAGGAGCAAATTTCTCTCATTTTACAATCTGATGATCATCCTCCTTCAATATTGTGTTGCAAAATTTGCTCCTCTGCGATCCTCTCCTTGGCAAAGCTGTCCACACGAATAGAAAATATTACGATCTCTCTACGTGCCGTCATTTCCAGCAGGAACGGATTGTTCAATAACGAGTCCAAAATTGGTGGTAAATAACAATCGACTCGATTATTTACTTAATCGGGTTAAATTCAATCATAATTAAATTATGCTTTTATACAGGGTGGTTTAAATGTCAGGTTACAATGGAAAATCTTTCAATGGGAAAGATTCGTAAATTTCCATTAGTTACAGATTTAGGATTATTAATTTTTATCAAAACTTATGCAACGCTGATCACAAAATTCTTAAAATATTGAATTTCAGAGGCAAAATTTCGGTTACTAATGGAGATTTGCGAATTTTTCTAATTTGAAAAATTTCCCATTGTAACCTGACATTTAAACCACATTGTATATTCACGCAATTTAGAATTGTCCTATGAAACAGCGGCTGACACCGGATGTCCTGTTGACAAGAATTCTAACAATGACCATGACGACGACGAGCAACAATTAACAGGATATATTGACGAGGAAGAATTCCTCGTAAAAGTCGAGCCAACCAGCGACGACGACGAGGACGACGATGACCGTTATAAAAGCCTTTCTGATCCTCTCTACGACCCAGACAGGCCACAAACTCCTGACGACGACACCTCTGACCTTGCAAAATCCGAGGTCAAACCTCCACCGAAATTTGTTTGCCACGTGTGTCGCTTGAAATTCTCCAAAAATCAATCCCTCTTTTTCCACATGAGGAACATTCATCCCGATGGTGATTTTTCTAGTGAGTTTTATTTCATAACAATTGTATAACCATTTTTAAGACATGAATGTAACTCACTATCATTTATTCTTTAGATGTGCAAACTGGTTTACTACCAAGGCCATTTGCATGTAAAATATGCAACATGAAATTTGCCAGAAATGATAATCTCTTTTTCCACATGAGGAACATTCATCCCGATTCTGATTTTTCCGGTGCGTTTTATTACATAACAATTAACAATACATTATATATTACTACTGACTCAGAATTACTTCACCAAAAATTTGATTCCCGCTTCGTATCCCTACCATACCAATAGCATGGGAAGGATACCAGCGCGGGATGGAAAAGATAAACTGAGTTGATATTATGCATAGTAATTTATGTAAATCACTCAAATTTATCATTTCATTTCTGTTCTAGACGTGCAAGCTCGTTTTCGACCAAAGAAATATGCGTGCAAGTTATGTAACATGAAATTCGCCCTAATTCCAAACATCAGGAGACACTTGAGGAACAAGAAAAAACACCCAAATCTTTCCGATGCTGACATTTCGGGTGAGTTTTACTTTACTACAAACTCATACATGCAAAAATTAATATATACCGGTAATAACTTCTTATCGGATAGTTATTAGTTTGTTTGTGACTGGCAAAATTTTTCATTGCCACAACACAACATTACCACACGGTCATAAATACATATATCTATGAACTAATAATGAATGATTTTATACCGGTTTGCGAAGTGTTCTTTCTACCTTTAAACCTTGTTTTTGCAGTTCTGGAGTCCGAGATAGATACTGAACCAAAGTTTGTGTGTGAAGTATGCCAACCGAATGTCGCATTCGCCGAAAATGAAGATTTCGTTCGCCACTTGAGGGACAAGAAGATTCATCCAGAATTTCCCGGTCCTCAAATTGCCTCTGACTTTTATAACAAAATGTGTTCCGTCGAGTGATCAAAAACAAAGCACATTCTCTGGTAGCATTTATTTATAAACACAGTTTTGCAATCCGTGAAGTTGTTCACAATTTATTGGTTGTCAAAATCAACGCTGGAAAACTTCACTTGATTATACATACGTACATACTTATGTATGCACTTATATAAAATATCTTTATTTTTGAAACGTGTTTATATATTACATACTCTGCCAGTTCAAAATTGTAAACATTTACTCAAATATGTCCTGGCTAAAAATAAAGACTGAAAAATATAACATAATTTTGCATACATACTTTTGTTGCTCGCATATGTAAGACACGAGTCCGCATTTTGAGAAATTTTATGAGGTATTTTTATTACCATGCTCAAAAACATGGGTAAAATTGTACAAGCCAATAATGACACTATTTCTTTTCAATGCGAATATAAAAGATTTAATACGTAATCACGAAATTAATCATCATTAATTATTCCAAATCCGCCAAACTTTGGCTCCCGTGGCCAAACGGTACAAACAAATTCAACTAAATCGGCCACTTTTGAATCTAGTTGATAATTATGCGACGCTTGAATTTAAAGAAGTTGTTACATTTAATATGCTAAGTGGGTCAGGTTTCAGGTTGAGTAAGGCGTGGTAGCGCACAATGTTCAAGTTCCTTAGCTACAACATATTTTCAAAAAAACAAATAATCTAATTTTTCAGAATGTAAAAAAATTAATTGGATTGTAAATTTTAAAGCCAAAAGGCAATCAATTTTCCACATTGTCGACCAAATATTCTTCTTCGACTTGTCCTCCACATTTACTTGTCCAACAACGAGTTGCTCTTCCTTCGACTTGTCCTCTACAAAATGTCCGACGACGATTTATCACCAACCCCTGGTGATGAATATTATCGTCCGGTGCTTCGCTCAATTTCTTGTAAAGTTCCTGCAAACTACCGACTGTTCGTCGCCAGCATGATTGATCTCTCACATTTGGACAAGGTTAGTGACGTAAAAGTAGCATATTAATGTATTTGCCAATTTTGCTTTAATCCTCTTGCCCGAGCCTGCTGTCCTTCATTGTTAAGAGCATAGATGATCGATATGCAAATGTGCACAATATTATGCTTAAATTGTCCTTCATGATCTCATCGCTGTGGAAGTCGAGGCTTAATGGATCACCAGTGGATAATTTTTATGTTACGTAAATAAATCTATTTTTGCACGAGTTCCAAATAAAGTGTGCAACGTCGCCTGGATGCCCGGAGTCGTCAGGATGGACAGTCGATTACATAAGTAGTTTATCATAACGGAAAAATGGGATTATGCGATGCCACAGTCCAGACGGCTCCAAAGAATTAAAGGATAATTGTGTGTCAGGCTGCTGCCATTCCTTTAACTTGAGCGATATGGGATACGATCTGACTATAAAAAGCGGTCAGTAGGCTATAAGCGAAAGTTAGAGAAACGTCAGGGTGAAGAATTTTTTTATATTAAAAAAATAATTTTTTACAATTCATTCATAATTATCCCCAATTCTAAATACGAATTATATATTCTTTGACTAAATTATTGCAGCGACATCTACCCATCAGCACTTTAATATTGTTACCATTATAATCTACCATTTCCGGTTTTCTTCCTTGCAATAAAATGGGACTAACGACAGGCCTCCTCGTTTTTGTGACAGGCTGTGCACTTGTCACACTTGCCACTGCATCTTCTTCTCCCGATACGATGGAAGTTCAATACTTCAACGTTAGCGTGTAGTAAGTTGGGAAACATTTTTTCTATTTAATATGGGAGCGTTCATAAAATACGTAATGAGAACTTTAATCTTTGAAATGCACCTCACCCCCCAGAGTATTGATGAGATAACCATTTCTTTATTCGTTTATGTCTACGGACCGTTCATAAATTATGTAACGCGAAAATGAGATTTTGCTATCTCCTCTCGCATTACATAATTTATGCACGGCGCCTTATGGGAAGAGGTGGAGTGTTAATGAGACGTAGTTTATGAACGACCCTATAATACTGTGAGGTTAGCATAATTGCTACAAAAATTGATTAAATTTAAACTTGTATATGCAATTCGTTGATAGCAATTTGCCCAACCGAGACACTATGCCCGGCGACTTGAGCGACCCCTACGTGATTATTCGGAACGGCGCAGGCGTCCGAGTGTACGAGTCAGGGTATTACGAGAACAGGGTAAATGCCACGTTTTATGGGGTCAATTTTAACGTGGTGCCCAATGAGGTTAGTAATTACATATTTTTTAATGAACAATTTTTTAAATTTAATTACACTAAAAAAACAAATATTTATTATCAGAGGTATGAAATTGATTTTCGTGATCACGATGACATTTCCGGGGACGAGGCTTGTGGTAGTGTGTACGTACAGGGGGACAACTTGGTGGGAGATATCCACAGATTGAGTAACCCCACTGGGGGATTGGTCGTCTTTAGGTGGAGATCTGTTACAGATCCGCCAACCACCACGACGGAAATGACAACAACAACAACGCCAACCACTACCACGCCAACTACGACCACGCCAACTACGACTACAACTAGTTGTCCGTGCTGCACTAGAGAATACATCATGTCTCAGTGTGCCTCCTTTTAAGGGAACGATGATATATTTAAAAGGGCCCAAAGCAGTCCTACAAATAATGGTGAACTACACATAAAATTTATTATAATTACAGTAATAATGAATGGAATAAAAAACACTGTAATGCAAAGATTTGTAAACGTATGTACGATATACTGTAAGTTTGATAAATACCCACAGAATATAGATTCTACCAGAAGAATCGATCTTATGTATTCGAGTGACGCTTATGGAAGAACGGGGAGAGCCAACCAAATAACTCGGTGTACATTTGGCCCACCTGGGGGATGGCACCTCCGCATCATCATCATCACCACATCTCCTGGCGTCAAAAAATGATGATGGAAGCACATAGGTGGCGGTGGCACCCTGATTTGTGCACCAAAACACACCCTCGTAGAGCATCAAATTTGTGGAGACGCAGCTCAGAATGGTGTATTCTGGTGCACAAATGAGGGTGCCACCGCCACCTATGTGCTTCCATCATCATTTTTTGACGCCAGGAGATGTGGTGATGATGATGATGCGGAGGTGCCATCCCCCAGGTGGGCCAAATGTACACCGAGTTATTTGGTTGGCTCTCCCCGTTCTTCCATAAGCGTCACTCGAATACACAAGATCGATTTTTCTGGTAGAATCTACATATATTCTGTGATAAATACCCAGTACGCATGAATTAGTTAAGACTGACTAAAATCGCTCACACGTATTGTTTACTGTTTACTGAAGTTTATTAAAATGTCGCAAATCATCAGAAAAAATCTGCTATTCTGCATATTTTTTGTATATAATCCTGATCTAAATATTTCTGGTTTTAAATATTCTGCAGAATTAAATGTACATATTTCTTCATAATTTTCCGAGCAAATCGCTCTGCATAATTTTTTGTGCATATAACGTCCAACATCGAAATGCGTTCAAACTGTTACCAAGAATCCTGCCAATTAAGTATCTTCTAGACCATTACATGAAATTTTCATTTAATTTAATTGCAATTATAACATTACAATATGAGTATATGGGCCGATACTATTACTTTTCACAATAAATTTTACGCCTTATTGAACCAATAAAATCACTACGTGTAATTTTTTTCTCAAAAAAACTAAATCGGCCGCTTATACATATAATGATTCAATTGTAATGTTAAATCCGGCAGAAATATTTGTTACTTATACAAATAATTGCGATCCAGGCAGGTGTAAATTATGTAAGCAACCCTACCCAATATCGACTTGCGCAGGGTAAATGATGACGATCTGTAGAATCCATTTATAGGATTAATAGGATTGAATCCTTGTAATTTAAATTAATCATGGGGTTGAAATTGACAATGAATTTTTCGGAAAATCATGTGAAAATCAGGCCCATTATATTTTATTTATGAGTTAGCTAAGGCTCTGATTCAACAAAATTGACAATGGATTTTTCGGAAAATCATGCGCATCATATTTTATTAATGAGTTAGTTAAGGCACTAATTCAACAAACCCATAAACATTTATAAGCATTCATCCTGTTCAACTTGTTTACTTACTCAGAATTCGTCGACATGACTATGGTTCATCTATTAAAACCGCAGCATTTTCCTATTCAATTTTGCTGAAACGAGTTGGCGGATCTGGCCCATGCTTATAAGCATTAGAACTTTGATTGTCAGCCGTTGATGCAATTCTCCATGGATTTTCAAAATTAAACATGTTTTGGAAACATCTGACCCTTCCCTACAATATATAATTTCAAATTTTTTAAATTTGACCTACGTGACCTGAAATCAAGGTCACAAGGTCAAAAAATGAGAATATTTGCAAAGTCCTTAAAAATGCAAATTCGCAAATTTGATTAGAAATTTAAAAGTCAGGCAACTCAGGGGAGTGGCAAAACATTACCCTCCGGTCATTCTAAAAATTGAGGGTGTGGCAGGGGGCGTGGGAAAATTGAATCAGGTTTAAATTATTAGAGTTTTAACACCTAGGACCGTTAGAAATATCAGTATCCAATCAGGGTCACCCCCTCAGCAATGGTTACATTATCACATTAAAATCTTCAATCCCCACCCACAGGGGGTGTGCCCATCAGCCTTTTTGTGGTTAATCAACTTAAGTACATTGCGCGACACAAATAATTTATTGTAACGGAATGGGGACCCCAATGGTCCCACCATATCACAAAAAAACACACCAAGGTTAAAATCTTGAATCCCCACCCACAGGGGGTGTGGTTATCAGCGCTTTTGCTATCTTTTAGAGAAAGCATGTCGTGTGACATATCGTTTTGACCAGAAACATGAGGGTAACTTAAAAATAGAATTGAAGTTACCAAAACCACACCCCCCAGTTGGTGTGGCTTTTAGCGATTTCGCCATCTTTTAGAGAAAGCATGTCGTGTGACATATCGTTTTGACCAGAAACATGAGGGCAACTTAAAAATAGTATCGATGCTACCAAAACCACACCCCCTGGTGGGTGTGGCTTTCGCCGATTTTACCATCTTTTCGAAAAAGCATGTCGTGTGACATTATTTTCATCAGAAACATAGTGGTCATTTTACAAGCGACCAAAACCACACACACCAGTGGGTGTGGCTTTAGGCGTTTTTTAATCAGTATTCTAGCAAAATATCTCATGCAACCCCAATAATTTACGGGTAAACAAAAGTGATCTACAGTATAGGCCGGAAGTCTTTCCACCCTCATAATTTTTTCACTTAAAGCGTTATATTTCTCGAGAAGCTTGAGGAAATTAACTGCAATTTTGCACAATTACTTATCATGATGCAAGGTTTTCGGAACCATACTTTGGATAACGGCGTGGCACAGGAAACGACAGGGTGAAATTATATACAAAAGTCCGACTGGAAAAAAGTCTTTCCACCCAGACTTAAGTTTAATGCAACATTCATTTTAAATTTTTGTTTGTTATGTAATAGTCAAATTATCATTTGCAATGTTCACCCAGGTCCTCTAGGAAGGCAATAACACCTCTAGGCATCAACACAAAAATTAAGATTGTGTATAAGGTGTCTAAATTCTCCAATTCAAATTTAACGACTTCGCCCAGTCCACTCGGGTTTGACAGTTTTTGCTACGAAATCTTAGGCTTCATAATTGACAACAAATGTTCATTAACATTCCGTCTGGTGATATTAGAGTACAATCCAACAACTAAATCTCGTTTGTCGTAAATCTACTTCTCAAAAACTTTGATCTATGCTTAAATTCACCATTCTGTTTGAAATAAAATTGTCACCACGCGGTTATTTCTCGCGTCACCATCAAATTCGAACCCCTAATGTCGTAACAGCAGTTGGGGTCCATGCTTCCTTTGATTATCTCAAAATTGCTGATGCCCTTCTACGACATTCACGCCCATACGTTTCGGTTTCCACCCCCATGCTTAATGGTTTATTTATGGTACTTAGTTTTGTCTGTATCTCCTGGGTATCTCCTTATCCGAGTGACCCGATCTGAACCAAACAAGTTGGTCTTGGTCTAGTCGCTCCATGTTGTACATTTCCAGTCTTGAATGTATCAGTTTCGATACTTTTTAGCCAATTTCATAACCTTGGTCATATGGGCCTAGGAAATAAAAGTTTTTTCCGCACTGCTGGGTCTTCAAATCCAACTTATTCTACTTAATTCTTTACAGTTCGCACAGAAATTTGAAGGTCGTAGTCTTCCTTCGTTTCCAGTTAGTTTTTGGTGCTGCAGCCGAGGGTTTAGCTGAATTGAGGAGAGGATGGCGTGATCGATCCTTGGGGCCGTAATGCTTGGCGGTCCATAAGCTAGGAATTTCGTCGCCGTACAAATCTTTTTGTATTTTTGGACTATTCTGCCAACTATGTACTTCTTCACGAGTAGTTTATTGTAAATCGTTTGGTATCGAAACCCCTCCTCACGAAATTTTACGACGTCTTGCCCAAGATCTGTGACAAGGCGATTTCCTCTCATTATGAGCTTATATTGATCACAATCAATAATTTGAACATGATACAAGCGTTATTTTTTAAAGAATGATATATCCCGTACTGGGTGGAGAACAATTTTCAAGAATGTTTTTAAGAATTACACAAAAACAACGAAAATGTCAAAAGGTGGAAAGACTTTTTTCCAGTCGGAATTTTGCATATAATTTCACCCTGTCGTTTCCTGTGCCACGCCGTTATCCAAAGTATGGTTCCGAAAACCTTGCATCATGATAAGTAATTGTGCAAAATTGTAGTTCATTTCCTCAAGCTTCTCGAGAAATATAAGACTTTAAGTGAAAAAATTATGAGGGTGGAAAGACTTCCCGCCTATACTGTAAAGGATCACATCCAATTCCTAATAACCACACCCAAAATTGGGCGTAAATTTGCATGCTTTTGTGGGCGGGGCGCATTTAAACAAACATTTCGCGTCGCGGCCGAAGCTTCGATGCTACACGTCGCGTTTCTGAATAACATTTCGCAGATCGTTCAACTTCAGTAGTATGAGCGTGTAATTGATAGTGTTAACTTGAAAGCAAATTTTTGAAAGTAAATTTTAATGGGATCCTCTCAAGAGGTTAACCCGGAGTGAGTTGTCTGCGGTGCCTATTTTGCACGGTTTTTCGGCGGCGAGTTAAGTACTACCGGCATGCAATCGGCGAGATTTACCTCTGCCGGTTTAAACATATGATTTAAGTTAAATTTCTAAATAGTAATATTATTCTTAGTATATAAATATATTATAAGCTTATATATAAATATATAAGCTGACGACTATTACCGAAATTTATCAAAACGTTGGGAATTTAATATCAATTTTCCACTTAACACGAATTTCTACAATAACTATTCACCCAAATTGTTTTAATTGTAAAATCGTGGAAGGTTGTTCAATTTGTAATTTTTTTAAATTATGGCATGTCTAAACTTGTACACATTTATCATAGTACCGAATTCCTTGAATTCCTTGATTTTTCCAATGATTTTTTGAGTGATTGCATATGTACAAACCACACCCACCTGGGGGTGTGGTTTGTATGCGATAGGAGGTAATCATCGAGGTCCCCATTCCATTCCGATAAATTATTCGTATCACATGACCTATGTTATTAGTTGCTACCAAAAACGTTGAAAGCCACACCCACCTGGGGGTGTGGTTTAGGTAAATTCGATTCTATGATTAAGTTGTTCTCATGTTTCTGGTCAAAACGATATGTCACACGACATGCTTTCTCGAAAAGATGGCAAAAGCACTGAAGGCCACACCCACCAGGGGTGTGGTTTTGGTAGCATCGATACTATTTTTAAGTTGCCCTCATTTTTCTGGTCAAAACGATATGTCACACGACATGCTTTCTCGAAAAGATGGCAAAAGCACTGAAGGCCACACCCACCAGGCGGTGTGGTTTGGGTAACATCGATACCATTTTTTAAGTTGCCCTCATGTTTCTGGCCAAAACGATATGTCACACGACATGCTTTCTCGAAAAGATGGCAAAAGCACTGAAGGCCACACCCACCTGGGGGTGTGGTTTGGGTAACATCGATACTATTTTTAAGTTACCCTCATGTTTCTGGTCAAAACGATATGTCACACGACATGCTTTCTCGAAAAGATGGCAAAAGCGCTAAAACCCACACCCACCTGGGGGTGTGGTTTTGGTAACTTCACCCCTGGCCGTATTTTTTCGTTTTCCTGAATGGGCATGTTTACGCCCTTGGCGGAATTTTCAAAAAAAATTCAGCCAAAATTCGGATTTTTAAACACCCCGTAACTTTTCGAATTTTGACCCGATTTCAAAAAATAAACCCATTTTTTATTCAGAATTACATCCCTGAAAATATAAAAATTCATTTTTAAAAAAACTTTTAATTTTAAGAAAATTATCGTTTTTTGGGTTTATAAAAATTCAGAATTATGTAGCATGAAAATATCAAATTTAAAAAATTTTTTTAAATGAATTTTTATATTTTCAAGGATGAAATTCTGAACACAAATTTTGTTTATTTTCTGAAATCTGGTTAAAATTCGAAAAGTTACAGCGTTTTTAAAAATCTGAATTTTGGCTGAAATTTTTTTTTAAAATTCCGCCAAGGGCGTAAACATGCCCATTCAGGAAAACGAAAAAATACGGGTCCACTTATTTTTGAACGTGAACAATTTAAAATTAGTCCGGTGGATATCGGCGATAACCACCTCACACCTCCTCATTGTTAGCAGCAGCTTTGGCCCAATGGTTCATGGAAAACAACCATTATGAACTACAAATTGTAGTCTACAATGTAATGTTTATTGCATTAGAATAAGATATCTAATTGACATGACGTTTATATAATATTTAACTGGAATACATGTACATACATATGTATGTCCCTCATAAAATCCCATAATCATTCACTCATTTTGAAGCCGAATCAAATATGGTGAAGCTGAAATTTGGTATTGGGGTAACTCATACAAGAAAATTTTCAAACACATCTGATTAAGCTGAAATTTAACATTGAGGTTGGTAGTTACCTCTGATGGTACCGTATATGTAGCGTGAAACTTGGCAAATATTGAACCGACAGGACCGTAAAGGGTCACCCACCTTGGACAGGCTTATCAACTAGTAACATTAATTAAATATATTGTCATTTCATTTACTTACTATTTTTTAACAATTCTATTAAAATCTTTCCCATCAAAAATCCCCAACTTGGCGGCCAACTCTTTAAACATTTTAATATCTGCCGATCTCTCCTTCATTCTCTCCCTTTCGATCAGGTGATCCTCCAGCCTGGGAAAAACGGTGAATATCCTGTCGTAAATATCGCTCATGTCTTCCATAAAACTACAATACCTGCAAACCTCCACCCCACTATACTCACACCTACACAACCGCTTCCTCTTTTTCCTTTCCACGTTAACCTCATCCACCGTCGGAATGGAGACATCAAAATTTCTCAACATCTCACAAGGTTCGAGACCCGTCGCCAAAAAAGTTTCGTACAGGAAAACCACCGTTGCTTCAAAGTGTGCAGCCTTATCCAGCTTATCGTACACATAATCTTCCGGGACAACGCGCACAATTAATTTCTCCAAGGCGGGAAATTGTCTCCCGTAAACTAACTTAACCCCGTCTCGGGCAGACTCAAAATTTAGGATAATATCTTGTTTCAAACTTAGACTGCATGTAAGATCTCTACTTTCTCGTCTGAAAATTTCAAAAACTTTTAACTTGGGGAGCATCGGGACCATTACGGTTCCAGGGGAACACACCGACCTTACATTTCTTACTCTGGAGATGCAGAAATGTCTGAGCTGGGGTGCCAGGAGGTTAAGGAGGTCTTTGAAATCGTCTGGTTCACAGAACCCTAGCAGCGTAAATTCGAGCCGGGTCACATTGGCGAAACCAATTTTATGCGGGGAATTGATTTCTAAGAATGGCATGAACCTTTCATGGGCTAGTGAACCTCTTGTAGTTTCTGTCGAAAGTGACTCTAATCGGGGTAGAATGATACCCTCAATATTTAGCAGGGGTAAGGCGGGAATTCCGGATAACTTGAGGTGCTGCAGGTGACGAAAAACGTGTAAAATTCGGGTAGCAACGCACACCGCGGTTTCGCACCTTAATACTTTATCCTTCCAAGACGAATGAAACATGTGGATGGACAGAGTTCTCAGGTTTTTTCCGTTTGGGTGTCCCCATTGGGAAATATTTTTTGCCAGGGGTGATCCGCAGGAAGTATTTTCTTATAAATGGTGTAGGAAAGTTTGATTTCTAAAGTTCTCAGATTTTTTAAGGATTCGCAAATGTTAACCAAATAATACCCCACGTTATCGAGGTTGAGTTCGATTTCAAGTTTCTTTACGGCATTTAAATTGAGTGTATCTAAGAGTGCTAGTTTCGGGAGTAAAACGTCAAAATTCGTGTCTTCAGAAGTGAAAATTTTGAGGTATTTAGGCGACAAGTTGACAAGGGTGATGAGCTCCGTGGAATCGTTAATATCGGAGTTGAGCTGGATATCGACCGGATTTCGGACCAGGAGGTGTTTCAGTGCTACGTTTTCCCAGGTGGGGTTGATCAGAGAGGACGATTCTAACTCTGGCGTGGACAGGAATTCCATAATTCGAGAAATTATCTGAACAAAAATAATCTTTTGTTAATTATATGTGAAATGTCAGCAATCAACAATACGTATTTTTGATTAAAGTCACCTCTGGGAAACCCAAGATAAAATGATGCGCTCGGGTTGCACTCTCCATTTCCAGTAAATTTCGAAACTAATAAAAATTGAGAAAACGGAAATGACTAAAATCTTGTAACCGTGTGTTAGAACTGGGGCTAAAAGTGACTTTATTTTGTGGAGTTGGGTTCAAGATTGAGGATTATGCATAAATTATTGGGGTGCAAATTAAATTGGCTAATTTAATACAATAATTTTAGTAAAATATTTACCAAGTTTACACTAGACACGTGCGATGTGGCTCTTCAAATATGTAGATTTTTAAGTCAATTCTAGTTTCCGTTAAACCCTATAACAATTACTTGAATTAAACTTGAGCCTAATTAACTACCTAAATTGTAGGTTTGTTACCTTGCAAATTGCTTCCGAACATAGCGTCTTCTTGTCCCAATTATTAAAACATTTAAGCTAAAAAGTGTCATACAATGTTACCATGCTTCTTCAGAATGTGATAATGGAATGCGGCGTATTTCATTAAAGACCGTTCCACTTGTAGGATGCGACCCTTGTCCAGGTGTCGGACCCTTCTTTGGTAAAAATAGAGTTGTTTATAGGAATGCTTCCCTTGTTTAGTTTGGGTTGGTTGGTATGATGGCAGGGAGAAATGGGTTATTTTTAATCCACCAGACTTTTAATTGAAATCACATAACTTGAATTTCCAGTGCTTTAATTCAATTTAAAAATTGTAAAATTAAAATTTGGCAGACTTTTTAAATTCATAAATTTTATTCAATTTAAAAAATTGACCATTAGAAATTTGAAGAAAACATTAGTTATTATTTTAAAATCTTTCGTAAATAATTTTAGTCAAGTATGCAGTGCCCTAGACCCTTTGGGAGAAATGAGGTTATATTTGTTTAAGCAAATGTGCAGAAGGGACTAAGTAAGTCTCTCCAAAGACTGCACAACAACCAATTAAGCACTCCAGACGAAACCGATTTTTCTATAGGTGGCACCGACACGTTAACCAGAAAAATAAGTATAGTGTGGAATTAGCATTACAAGAGTGCATAAATTGCAAAAAATTTGGTGTAAATATTTTGACGTGTATGTACATACATCAGACCCCCGTACTCAACTGTGAATAATGCATTGACCACCACCGCGAGGTTTTCCCACCATCCACCATCCACGTCGAAGAAAGGTTAAAAATTTAAACACATTAAAAATATATAAAAGAGTATCAAACAATAAAGCTTTAGATTTTGAACCTGCAATGTTTGCATTTTGTTTCAAATCTAACAAGTGTACCTGATGTAATTTCGGTTATTTTTCGGATGACGTGGTAGCAACATACATTTAACCAGGGAGAAGCACCACGCATCACGTTATCCGAAAAAATTACATCATGTACACTTGTTAGATTTAAAAAAAAAACTGGAAAACAAAAATTTCAGGTTCAAAATCTAAAGCTTTATTTTTTGGTACTTTTTTATATTTTTAATGTGTTTAAATTTTTAACCTTTCTTCGACGTAGATGGTGGATGGTGGTAAAAACTCATCGCGGTGGTGGACAATGCATTAGAGTAGGGGGGTCTGATGTGCAGTGTGATTATTACTAGCTGATAAGCCTGTCCAGGGTTGCGGTTGAATTTGAATGAAACTGAGGAGGCTGAATTTTTCAGCCGGAGTTTGGAAAGAGTTGAAATGACTGTCTCAACTTCTGGGGGCTGTGGGGGAGGCATTTTTAAAAGTAAAGAGTTGAATTTTTGCACACACCCATCTGAGGATAATATGCTCGTCTGTTCAAAATTTTGACCCGCTACGACAAACCGTTCCGGGGTTATTCCAGGTCAAAATCGTTATCAGCAAGCCGCCCGCCCTTTGGTAGTAAATTTTATTTTTTATTTCCATTTTCATCATTAAAAACGAACATTTACATATGGTACATATGGTACAAATTTCGTCTTGCGTATCTCGCTACAATTCGATGAGTTGATGATGTGAATTAATCTTTTTCCGCAAAAATTTTCAATGATGATTCCTCTGAATTTCATCCGTTTTCATTACAAGCCGGGTGTGCTTTTTAAAGTTAGATCTACATACATACATATCTAATCAAATCATAACTGTTCACATTTATGGAATACGAATAAATTACGCATGAATGAATATTAAGGCAAAGGTTTATTTTCAAATTTGGAATATTTAAATGAAAAGGTTTTTTTATTTAATTTAATGAATTTTGAACTAAAAAAATAGTTTCTGAAGTTAAAAATCGAATTCCTGGTGAATGTTGCCACTTTAAACTCTCATTCTATCACTCTATCATTTCAGACGAATAAAAGGATTTTTCACTCTCCTTACATTTTTCACCCTAAGCTTTATATATGGAAGAAAGTAAGAAATGAAGTCAAATGAAGTGAAATGAATCAATTTGAAGGAAAATGACTAGATGTGAATGAAAATCTTCATTTATAAACCGGGATGACTGACTTTTGAGTGAAACAAATTTTTTGAACAGATATGGTGCCGTGACCTTCTTCAGTTGTAGGTCATTCAAGGAAAACTGACCTGAGTTATGACCCTTTACAGAAATTCATACAGTTCATGAGTTCGAAATTCAGAGCGCGACGGACGGACAGAGTCAATGGACAAAGAGGTTTCATCCCTTAATACATAAAGGGTTCAGATATACACTAGGGAGCAATATTATTCGGGTAAGGGGAACCTCAAAACTCAAAGGACAATTAGTTAATAACAGTACGAGATATTCCAAAGCATTTCCTGCAATTAGTAGATAATGTAATAGGGTTCCAAATTGTATGTCCCATTTCACCCCAACTCTCATATTTTTAGGCAGAGAGTAGAGAAAACTTTTTTTTTCAGAATTTTTTCCGAGCAAAATTATTCGTTTTTTTTTAAATGAAAATATAAACAAAAATTGTATAAGTATCGAAGTACTGTTTCGTAAATTTAGTGAACCATCTTATGATATATTTATTTTGAAAATTTGGAATTTGTCAAGTCATGGGAAGAAGACTGCGGAGACCCCTATTGACCACCTAATGCAGGGTTGGGAAGAAAATGCAAATGGGAAGAAGGTTCAAAGTGAAAATTCTGAAATACGCCATATCTCGTCCTCCTATATCTACTTTATCATTAAAAAATATAGAGAAACTTGAACAACTGCTAACATCCGAGAAACAGGCAAAATTTCGTAGTTTCCCTGCAAAAAATATCAAGCAATCGTTAAGGAAGTGTAGGCCACGCCCAGACTTTCAGGACCCAAAATCGCGACAGCGGTCTAAAATGACCTTAGAGAGTCGACAATTCGATTTCGAGAAACAAGAACCCTGAAAACTGCCAGACTGAAAAATTTTCGAGCTAGGAAAAAATAATTAATCAGCAAACTGGATAAAGGAATAAGACCAAATTTCTATTGGGCCAATGTTTTGTCGGAACGATATTTTTGGAAGCATATCGAATGATCCGACAAAAGTTTCAACATGTCTGAATCTAATATACATGCTCCCGTTTTGAGAAAGTAATGGGAACCACTGAAAATGAAGAATCGACCAGCTACCGGCAGCAAAGGTGGTGGCAGCGTTATGACAGCGTGGTGATCTAGCTCTGGTGCTACTGGGGATTTAGAATTTTAGGAACGATTCATGGACCAATTTGTCTAGCAGGGTCCATAGATCGGAGTACTCCGGAAGCAGGAGTACGCGACTTTTTCCGGAGTACGGAGTACGCGTGGCTGGCCGGAGTACGGAGTACGCAAAATATCCGATCTATTCGAAATACCAAAAGTTTTACCACCACTAAGGCTCTGGGTCGACTACACACATTCCAAAAAGGCATGGCCCCAAGCAAAAAGTGCAACTAACTTGACACTATTTTGAAAAAAGACACATTAAAGCGTTGGAATGGTCACCACGAAGCACTGAACTTAATCCCACTGAACCTCTCTGCGACCGTGTAAAAAAAGAAATTTCAAAATCCAAAATTTCAGGCCTAGGCGAACTGAATTGTAAAAAATTCTGAACTATGGGAAACATTGGTTAAGAAATCGCCTCACAATTGGTTCATCTATTCAAGACCATTGTAATGCATTTATTTGCAGCAATATTGGCCCAACACATCAAGGTATAATTTTGGATGTTTAATCCAAAGTGTATATGCCGATTTAAACTAAAAGCTAATTCTGCCCGAATAATTTTGCTCTACTTTTTCTGGCTTTTTTCACTGTTAATTAGGTGATGCGAGAATTTGGACGTTTTTTCGAAATTTGCGTAATACAAATGAAAGACAACTAAATGGTGTATAAATTGCAAAAGACTTCAAATCAATACATCAGCCAGTTACTCAGTTATTGTCATTTGAATTTGGAGGTAGGTCTCACCCGAATAATATTGCTCCCTAGTGTATTTCACTTACAAGGAGTACAGATTGTGGAACATTTGAAAGAAAAATATTAACTGGAGGTGTGTAGGTAAAATGACAAATAATCCGACCATGTTGGTATGCAATTCTTAATTTATTTCATCTATTTGCTATTCAAATTAAATCAGTTTAATAATGCGAATTTCAAGCGGTACGTTTCCATAATCGAATCGCCGTATTTTTAGGTCTCACTTCCACGTTTGGATGATAATATCGAGCTGATTCGTAATGAAGAGCACCTTCATCAGCATCATAACTTGTTCGCACCCACGGACTCCATCCTGTTGCAGGTACTTGTATGGAGTGGGGGTAGTTATCGTTGTAGTCCCTACTTTTGGTTTCCACGTCACTTATCTGTCTAGTATAGTCCCCCTGGTTTTCCCCAAATGGGGCCGAACCACTCCCTTCAGCTCGGAAGAATTGTCCAGCGTAAGCACTTGTTACGTCTTGCCAAGTTATTTGGGACCATATACTACGAGGTTCCGGTTGACGGGGTAGTTGGACATAAATGAATCCAATTGGGACTAGAATATAAACATCTAGGTATTTACTTACAATTAGAACATCCAAAACCGGAAGAATTTGTAGAACCAGTTTTCGATTTTTTAAATTTTCGTAAAATCGGCTTTCGGTTTTCTCCAAAACTGGTTTTAAACCAAGTTTTAAAATTTTGTAAATATATGATCTAGTAAAATTTAAAGTAGAACAAACTTCAGGGAACTATGTAATATTTCAAAACATTTAATTTTTACATGAAAAACAAGAAATATTAAATATTTAGTGGTTAGAAAACGATTTTTAGAAAAAATCGAAAACCGGTTTTCGAGTTTGACGACACCGGTTTTTCACAAACCCCATTTTTTTTATATAGTCCGGTTTTCGGATAGATCGATAACCGGTTTCGGAAACACCGATTGTAGATGCGATGGTGTAAAGGATAACACACCGATTTTGTTGAAAGTTTGAATTATGAAGTTCAAATATTGACTATTTTACGAAAGGGAGACAATGACTTGATAAAAATCGCCCATTTTTCAACTTTGACGTCAAATATTTCCG